TCCATTGTTTCTAACTTTTAAAAAAGTTTTGACAGTCTGTTTAAAGAGATGAATATTACCACAAGATTGCCACATGTTTCCAAGGAAGACTCAAACAAAGCCTATTCCTTGAGCATGAAGTAGGTCCGTCTTTCTGATAAGGAAACTTTCTTGGAAATAGTACCCAATTCTTGGTTTACACCTTATATGAAGATGTTTTGGTTGAACACAGAAACCATTGTTTTGAATGGCAGAGATAATTGTATTGAAATAGTGCCTTAATGCTGTGAGAATAAAATCTGCCAAAAAAATTCGGCTCAAAAGAATTTCAATTTACAGTTTTTCGTACCATAGAAAATATGACATTTCCATGCCTGAGATGTTAGTCTGATTTTGCCTGGGACTTGAGGGCAGGCTAGCTATATAACTTAAGAGACCAGTGTAAAATGAAAATGTGAAACCCCTTGTTCAAAAAGGATGAAAAAAAGAAGTAGGAAGAAAATGTGCAATTAAAGATAATAAAATACAAAACTTTATCCTCTATAAATTTATATAGCGTGACCAATAATGATGATACATGAGTAATAGCATAAACCTACAGATAGATAAAAATTTCTATTTTTGAGGTCATAATTTTATATAATAATACCTTATTAATGTGATAATGACTGATCATAAGATTTTTCTGGCTCACTTTTCTTTAAATTCATTTATTAGATCATCAAAATTGATACATTTAGCAACTTTATTTTAAATGATACAATTAAAAGCCAATCAGTCACTCTTGGCAAATGAAAGATTACACATAATATTTGGTAATTTTTAATTTTGAGAAGAATCTTTCTGCTGATACAACTGACACTGGAGCTGTTGGGAATATTTGATAGGCTTGGCAACACTAGGATAGATTTCTGATAAATGATTTCAAAATATAAATTCTAGTATCTCTTGAGCTGATGACACAGAACAATTTTTCGAAAAAGGTACAACTCTTTATGCACATTAGTTTTATGTATGTCAGAAAATCTAATTTTAAATATAAGTTTGTTCCGTGTTGTTTTTCTCTGGTATGTCCCATAACTTGTAGAGGTTCTATAAGAAACCAGAAGTTACTTAATGATTTGTATGTAACTCAGAATACCTACCTGTGCTTTCTATAACCATATCTTCCATGACAAAGAAAAACTAATTTTAAAATTGTCATCCTCATTAATTGGTTCATTTGAAGCTGCATGTGAAAATAACGTTTTTATCCATCAGATGCAACAATTTTTATGTTTAATTTCCAAACCCTTGGGTATTTACTTAGCAGTGGTGCAGCTGGTTTTTGAGGGGGGAAGAATTCTGGATTTGTTTTGTTTTGCTTTGTTTTAGAGCAAGAGCACATGTGTGAGTGGGGGCCGGGGGGGAAGGGGCAGGGGGCAGTGGGCAGAGGGAGAGAGAGAATCCTAAGCAGGCTCCATGCCCAGCGCAGAGCCTGACTCAGGGGCTCTATCACAGGACCCTGAGATCATAACTCAAGCTGAAATCAAGAGTATGACACTTAACCAAGTGAGCCACCCAGGCACCCCAGTGCAGCAGGTTTTAAAACCTGATTCTAAACTCTTTGAAGAATTCTTATATCTCTTCGATATGCTTTATTGCAACATCCATGTGTATGCTTTTATTTTATAATATTTTATTGATGTATATTGCCTAAACGCTACCATTCTCCTCCCTGTGTTCAGGCCGGAGAGCTAATATCTTGCCTTAGGAATGGGTTCCGGGAAAAGACAGGCAAGCCAGCAAGTGCTACCACAACTGCTGCTTCTCCTGCTGCCACCATCACCATCGCCATCACCAGAATGGGCTCAGGTCCCAACCCCAGCCACACCCTCAGAGCCCTGCAGCACCCCAGGCTGCTTTGGGCAGGAATGTGCACACCAGGCAGGCAGGCAGGCCAACTGTTTGGCAAACACACTGCCTAGTCCCCACTGTGCCTGGAGGCCTGAACCCGCATATGCGTACCTCACTTATCTCCTCCATTCACATACCTGCTCCCCTGTCCCATCAGACTTCATTTGGAAAACACAAGGTCAAGGATAAAATCAAAAGAGTTTCAAGACCACAACAGATCATTAAGCCAAGTCCAGGGTCGTGTGCGACTGCTCAAGGCTTCATGATCTATCTGTAGAAATTACCTGGCCCTTCGTATGAATGATTACGGAGGCAGATACATTTATGCCTTTGGCTTTCTCTAGTGGGAATACATGGAAATGGGCTATGGATGAGGGTGTTATTGACCACTATTAGTTTCTCTGTCTCTCTGCTGCTCTAAGCCTACCCCTTTTTTTTTTACTTTTATAAAAATTTTTATTAACATACAATGTATTATTTGTAACATATAATTATTGTTATACATTAATATAATGTATATAATACACATTATATTTGTATAATATAATGTATTATAATCAGTCTTACACAATTCATAGCACTCACCACTGCATATAGCCTCCCCAGTGTCCATAACCCAGCCACCCTATTCCTACCCCCTCCAGCAATCCCCAGTTAGTTTCCTGAGATTAAGAGTCTCTTATGGTTTGTCTCCCTCCCCAGTCCCATCTTGTTTCATTTTTCCCTCCCTTCCCCCCATAACCCCACTCCCTGCCTCTCAAATTCCTCATATCAGAGAAATCATATGGTAATTGTCTTTCTCTGATTGACTTATTTCACTTCTCATAATACCCTCTAGTTCATCCACGTGCTTGCAAATGACAGGATTTGGGGGGGTTTGATGGCAGCATAGTATTCCACTGTGTATATATACACCACGTCTTCTTTACACATTCATCTGTTGATGGACATCTAGGCTCTTTCTATAGTTTGGCTTTTGTAACATTGCTGCTATAAACATTTGGGTGCACATGCCCCTTGGGATCACTACATTTGTATCTTTAGGGTAAATACCCAGTAGTGTGATTGCTGGGTCATAGGGTAGCTCTATTTTCCACTTTTTGAGGAACCTCCATAGTTTCCAGAGTGGCTACACCAGCTTGCATTCCCACCAACCGTGTAGGAGAGTTCCCGTTTCTCCACATCCTCACCAACACCTGTTGTTTCCTGACTGGTTAATTTTAGCCATTCTGACTGCTGTGAGGTGATAATCTCACTGTGGTTTAGATTTGTATTTCCCTGTTACTGACTGATGTTGAGTACTTTTTCATGTGTCTGTTGGCCATTTGGGTATCTTCTTTGCAGAAATGTCTGTTCATATCTTTTCCTCATGTCTTGATTGGATTATTTGTTCTTTGGGTTTGATAAGTTCTTAATAGATTTTGGATACTAGCCCTTTATCTGATAGGTCATTTGCAAATATCTTCTCCCATTCTGTCATTGTCTTTTGATTTTGTTGACTGTTTCCTTTGCTGTGCAAAAGCTTTTGATCTTGATGAAGTCCCAATAGTTCATTTTTACCCTTGCTTCCCATGTCTTTGATGATGTTTGTAGGAAGAAGTTGCTGAGCTGAAGTTGAAGAGGTTGCTGCCAGTGTTCTCCTCAAGGATTTTGATGGATTCCTGTCTCACTTTTAGGTCTTTCATCCATTTTGAGTCTATTTGTGTGTGTGATATTAGGAAATGGCCCACTTCCATTCTTCTACACGTGGCTATCCAATTTTCCCAACACCATTTGTTGAAGAGTCTGTCTTTTTTCCATTGGACATTCTTTCCTGCTTTGTTGAAGATTAGTTGACCATAGAGTTGAGGGTCCATTTCTGGGGTCTCTATTCTATTCCATTGATCTATGTGTCTGTTTTGGTGCCAGTACCATACTGTCTTGATGATTTTAGCTTTGAAATAGAGCTTCTGGTATTGTGATGATGCCAACTTTGGTTTTCTTTTTCAACATTCCTCTGACTATTCGGGGTCTTTTCTGGTTGCATATAAATTTTAGGATTATTTGTTCCACTTCTTTGAAAAAAGTTGATGGTATTTTGATAGGGATTGCATTAAATGTGTAGATTGCTCTAGGTAGCATAGACATTTTCACAATATTTGTTCTTCCAATCCATGAGCATGGAATGTTTTTCCATTTCTTTGTGTCTTCCTCAATTTCTTTCATGAGTACTTTATAGTTTTCTGAATGCAGATTCTTTGCCTCTTTGGTTAGGTTTATTCCTAGGTATCTTATGGTTTTGGGTGCAATTGTAAATCGGATCAACTCCTTAATTTCTCTTTCTTTCTCTTGTTGTTGGTAGCCTGCCCTTTTTGATGAAAATGCTGGACACCAGCATTTTCTTTTGGAGTTTCTTTTCCCAAGATTCTAGAGAGAATGGGAGTAAGACAGCAGGATGGAACTAACATTTATTGAGTATTTACTGTGTTAATATATACCAACCTATTCATTTAATGCTAACAGGAGTTCTGTTAGCCCCTTGCGAATGAGAATCTGAACTGAGAGGTTGAAGAACTTTCCCAGGATCACACAGCCTGCAAATGGTAGAGCAGAGATTTGAACCAGGCAGCTTTAATGTCCTGAATGAGAGCACTGGAAACAAACTACCTGGATCCAAATCCTGGATGTGCCAAATAACGGCTTCATATTGGATGAATTCCTTCCCTGCGCCTTGGTTTCCTCATGTACATACTAGAAATCAGACAGTAAAGTGTCTACTTCATAGGGTTGTTCAGAGGGAAGGTTAAATACATGTCAAGCATTAAGAATAGTGCCTGACACTTAATAAGCCTACAGTAAATGCTACTCTGCCGTCATTACTATTACCACCATTCCTTTGCCTACTCCACAGTCTCTCTTCATAGCTGAGAAAAGAATGTTGGTGATCAGCAGAAGAGAACAGCTTACAGGCAGACAGTGGGGGCCATCTGCTGTTTACTGTTCCTAAAGTTCCTCCTGTAGACCCTCTTACAAGTGATGTGATCGGTGACTGGATTCTTGCTTCTGGCAGCGCATCTCTGTAGGCTTCTTGGATTCTACTGTTCCCCTGGTCTGATCATTTTCTGTGTGGGTTGTGTGTGTTGCAGGTATGAGACCTCTCTGCTGGATTTGGTTCAATCTCTGAGTCCAAAATCTGCTCCCAAACCTCAACCCCATCCCTCCAGAGAAGCTGGGGCCTGGATTCCCAGTAATCGCCGACTCAGTCCTCGAAAATCAACCTGGAACAAGATGGGGACAGGCAGGACCCCCGAAGACCTGGAGGAGAATCAAATTCTGGAAGATATCTTTTTCATTTGACGTTGAAACACACGCTACAAAATTTCCATCTGAAATGTGTGGGCTTCTTTATATCCTGATCTAGGATTTTAAATTATTTGATCGCAAACTAACCGTGTCTCTCCTTTCACAGGGGCCTCTCTCACTAACATCCTGTTATGTGTTGAACATAGAAATCATGTTACAAACCCAGAGTGGTTTTGTTCAGACCCCTCAGTAGGTGACACATTAAGGGCAGGGTGGGGGAGGGCAGTATCTTTTCTATGCCAAGCAGAGATTAGAAAATTAACATAGGACCCTTTCTACATGCAAAGGCCTTTACATATTCAGCCTCATTTCCAGAGTGTTTCCTTCTCAATACTTAGTGGGAAAAGGTTGGTTCTCTTTTATGCACAAGGAAGACCTTTTCACAGAAAAATCCCTCTGATTTAAAAGTAGCCCCTTTGCAACATAAGCAGTTTCAGAAAGACAGCCTCTTTACCTCTCCACCTCACCTTTACCTCTGTTCCCTCATTGCCTACCTCTGTATACGTGTAGTCATTTAATTCCGAAGTTGGAGTTGGTGTCCCTACCATCGCAAGCAACACCCAACAACCAATTTCGAGTCAGTTCCAGTAATCATCAGCCGTAACCAAAGGGCACAACCAATCCTTGGAAACCAGCATTAAATAAGTAAATATGGAGACACAGGAAATAAAATGGAGACACAGGCCTGACATGCTTTTCCTGCCATCCCCCCATTTCCCAGGATAAATAAAAGCAATAGCTCAGTACTTTTTACTGACCTAAGTGTCTGTACTTGTTAGCTGCCCATGGCTGTCTCTGGGGAAGATGCCACTAGGGAGAGGAGCATCAGCTGCCACAGGCTGAGAGGTCTTCCCTGGTCCTCCCTCTTACCTCATGAGGATCAAATGCCCTAGGTTGATCGGGCCTTTGATGTGCTCTGCTCAGGCTGTTGTCCCGTGACTCCAAAGAAACATCTCTATTTGCCAGATTCTCCTCCTCCACTCCCAAGCAGAATCTCCCTATCTTTTCCACTCCTCCATTTGACCCAGAAAAGGCCTGTGGAAAAAGTACACTTGCAACCTTATTCTCTCTCTTCTCCTATTTGGCAGAGCTCTTAAGATGGGTCCTTCAGCTTACAGTGGGCTCCAGTGGGCTCTCATGCCCCTGGGCAGCATGATGAACCTGGTAGAGCCAGTGAGTTGATGACTTCCCAGTCACTGGAAGCAAGGAAGGTGTGTCCCCAGATGTGTCTACTTGTTGACCTTATTTGATCTGTTCTGTTTCTCTCTCCCTTTCACCCAACCCCAGGCTTGAAGTGGGACCAAGAGTCTTTGTCAGTCAGCATTGGTAGCCCAAGTTCAGACCACCCAGGGTGAACTGCATTTACTGAGCCTACAGGGCTTCCCTGAAGTCTTTATCAAAACTAGATTATCTCAGCCTACAAAAGCCTTGTTAAACAGATTCTTTATGTGGATGGATTGAAATCTCATGTCTCTTCTGCCTGAGGTGCTACCCCCTCTACTCCGCCTTCCTCCACTTGGGTCTCTTTGCTCTTTGAGGAGAAGAATGGGATCTACCAACATCAGTCCTTCATCTGAGGTCAGGATTGATTAGTTTTAGGCATCCAGTTGAAAAGCTGAAAAAACACTGCAGATTAAAGTATCCTTTTAAAGTTCACCCCATGACAGGAACTGAGTCAATTTCGTCCCATCCAGAAAGCATTTGGAAAATTGTGTTTCCTTTGGTGTGGCAAACTGAGGAGAAAAAAACTGAGAGCCCTCAGCCATTTTCTCAAATTTAGGTTTCTAGAACTATCTTTTACTTGCCCCAGGTGTCAAGAGCACCTTAAGTACATCCAGTTCCCTTGGATCAGCCATAAGCGCACACCCCATTTGTCGCCAGTGTCTTTACAGATCTCTAGAATAAGAGGGTGCCAGAAGGACTAAGAAAAGGATTATGCTCTCTTTAAGAAGCTTGTTTGCCTTTAGAAGAATGCTAAATGAGACATAAACTAAGGGATTTTGGCAGGGGCGGTGGTGGTCACGTGCCACAGATTGGAGTTTAATTCCTTCTCCCCCTGCATGAGCAGTTTGGAAGAGCAAAGATGGATTTTCAGCAGAGTGTCAAACAACATATTTTTCATATGCTCCATCCCCACACCAGTTGCCTTTCTATCCTTTAGGCATTTCCTGTGTGTCAGGGCAATAGGATGTGAATTTGTGTCTAATCCAATGTCTTCCTTATGAACTGAATGGCGTATGTTAACATCTTCATTTGTCTGACTTTGAGATACATATATATATATATGAAAAGGTGGTTGTAGAGCCTTGAGGCTGTTGTGGAGCCCAGAAGCTTGACCTAATTGCGGATATCCTACAGAGAGAGGGTCTGACACAGAAGAGGCAGCCTTTCTTCCTGGTAAAGTGCTCGCAACAATGATTGGTTGCCTCCGCTGCTTCCTCAGAGCAAGACCAGACACATATTAGGGGTGCTACAGATAATGCTGCCACACTGCCCACCCTGCTGCCCACCACTCTGTGAGAGAAAAACCCATCAATGTTTGCAAAATGGGACAGGCCAAAGCAGGTCCGTTGAAGCTCCTACAGGGGCCCTAAGTGCTTGATTTAGGAAACTAAGGCCAATCAAGGAAAAGCTTTGCTGACAGTCATCCTTCCCATAGGTATACTCATGTCATCCAAACCGGACCTGCATGGTGAGGACTTAACTAGAAAACCCCAAATGTCATGGGGAAGGGAGGTAGTCTCTCCTCCCTCAGAGCCACTCTTTTCACTTGGCCCTGCTCCCAGCACCATGGCCAGAGACTCTGAGAAGGGACTGCCGAAAGGAGAGCAGCCGGAGGAAGTCCGTGGTCATTAGTGAGGTGGATGGAGGCTATGGCAGACCCCTCCCAGCGCATGCCTTATCCTCACCTCGGAGAGTATCATTTTTAATGTGGGTAACTGTTTATATACGTAAGAGATTTTAAGTTAACAAATTATCTCCATGGATATTTTCCCCACGTGGTTTTGGTATCAAATTGTCCCTTCAACACCCTTCATCAAATCCATGGGGGCAGAGCTTGAAAGCAAGAGCAGAGCCCCAGGTTATCAACATGTTATTCTCGTCAGTATGTGTTAAAACAGCAGGAGCTTGGGTTAACAGAAAGAAAACGATTTGCCAAGTCCTGATAGGTTTTCCTGGCTGACTCTGGCTCGCTCCCATAACATGGACACCAAGCCTCCTCTAGTTCTGTGGTTGCTGGAATGGAAGTTTTGATCTGCGTGCACCTCTGAGACAGGAAAAATGATCCCGTCTAGTGGGCTTTAGGTGCTAAGAGATATTAGGCAAGGGCTTGTGTGTCTGAAATGCCCAGTTTTGAAATCATACTGGTAGATTCAGTCAATAGCCCGAGACCTTCTGTCCTTGTTTCCCCGGTCAACCTGACACCTCCACAGGCCCAAGGAGACTGCAGGTGCCCCTCCAATGCAGAGGTGGCAAGAACACCATCATCACTCAACCAACTCCAAGCCCTGTGTGCCATCTTACTCAATGCTAATGAGAGCCATACTTAAAAAAATAAAAAATTTAAAAATTTTAAAAAAAAACTTCATCCATTTACATGGAAGAGAGAGAGTATGAGTGGGGAGGCAGAGGGAGAGGCAGGAGCAGACTCCCTGCTAAGCAGGGAGCCCCACACGGGGCTTAATCCCAGGACGCTGGGAACATGACCTGAGCCAAAGGCAGACCCTAACCAACCAAGCCACCCAGGCACCCCAAGAATCATACTTTAAAGAGATTATTTGGATATGTGTTTCTTACCAGCGTCAGCCACCTCAAATCCTTTATGGAATGAGGACAGGGATACATCTATGGACACCTAAGTTTTCAAGGTTATTTTATGCACCAATAATGAAAATGAGGCATAACAAAACCTAACTAAGGTCATCAGCTAGTAAAGAATAGAATTCCAACTTGGAATCTGCGGAGAGAGGATCATTATTCCCTCCCCACCTCCTCCTCCTGGTCAAACTCTCAAGTAGTATCAAGTCCACCTCCCGTTTCTCAGCCCACCCCTTCGCTCTATCTCTGCTGGTGCTTCTCTAGCACAACAGTCTCTGCATTGTTCTTCCTGCTAGATGGCTGGATTCATCCTTGAACAAGTTTGACTTTACCCTTCTTTGCCTCACTCTTATCTTTTAATGGGGATCATAGCAGAACCTTCCTCCAGGGGTTATTGTGGAATGCAGTGAACTAATGTATCTCAAGTGCTCAGCACAGATAAATAAGCATTCATAAGGATACTTGTTACTATTCTCCAGGAAGCTACCAGGGTCATCTTGCCAGGTCGTACCCTGGCTTAAAAGTGTTGGATAGTACTTAGTTTCTTATTGTGCTTAAGAAGGAGCTTGGCGTTATGAGCATAATGCACGAGGATCTTCATGGTTTGGCCCACTGTAGACCTACAGCCCCTTCATTTCCCCACTGTTTCTGTTGACTTCTGTGCTCAACCACTGTGAACTGCCATAGTTCCTGAAGGCACTGTGATATCCTCCTGACCTTGTGACATCCTTCATCACCACACTTACTGTGCTAGAAACGCCTGTTTATCTGATCCCTCCCTTAGACGGCAGGCCCCATGGTGGCCCAAATAAGATGTTGTTCTTAGCCATCACTCACTCCCAAGAACTTAGCACGGTTCCTGACACGCTGTAGGCTCTCATCATTATCAGTTAGATGGACAGGTAAGTGCATCGGTGAAAGAGAGGGAGAGCAGGAAGGAAGGAAGCCATTAAACAGATCTGTGCTTCCAAAGTCCACTACTCTGTACTATGCCAGGCTACTTGCCCCTCTCTCATGGAGAAAGTGAAGGCTGTACTAAGGGGTTTGGGAACACCTCCATTGCTTCCTCCTCATTCCCACACTGACTCGCATTTTCTTTCCAGAACAACCCTAAGATTTGTAACTTTCTTGCTTAAAAATCCAAAGGACTCCACAAGGCTTACAGGGCAAGGAGCATGCCGTTTAGAGTGACATAGCAGGACTCAGCATCTGACCCCATGTCCCTTTTCCCACCTCATCGCCCTCCTTTCTCTGCTCTGTTCACCTGTGCAACTTACAGCTGTTGGCCACTTCCCGAAGACATACTGCTCTTTCCTATCTGTGTGACTTGTCCGCATCTCTCTCTCATGGATGAATCTTTCCTGACCTAGCTCAGATGTCACTACTTCCACATTTTCCTGATTCCCCCCAGGCACCCTTACAGATTCTTTTCTCCTGGCTCCAATTATGCTCCAAGAGCCTTCCGTCCTATCCCACCTCAAACTGGGCTGTATTGTTTGTCCCCCTGTTAGAATGGGAAGTGTCCAAAGATGACAAATACTGACCTTAGAAACAACTCGGCCTTACCACTTGTGAGTTGCACACATTTAGACAGGTTATACTTTATAAATTCAAACTGTATTATAAAGCTAAGCTTTACAAATTATACTCTCTAAGCCTCACATAGAATAATTTATAAAATTTGTGTAAAGGGGGTGGTCATTCCTACCTTACAAGTTGGTTCCTGGGACGCTGATCTAGCCCAGAGGAAAGACAGAATGGTAAGACAAAACTGTCCATGCAAGGAGGCCT